CGGAGGCCCCGGCTCGGCTCCCGCGGCGCTCACCCCTCCGCGCTCCCCACAGCCATGAACGGCGGCCTGTGCCTGTGCGTGCTGATGGCGGTTCTGGCGACCGGCGCCTGGACGCAGCCGCTGTCCCCCGCGGGACCCCTGGGCCCCGCGACCCTGGGCGCAGAGGACGCGCCCCGGAGGCAGCTTCGCACGAGGACGGGCGCCGAGCCCCGGGCGCGCCTGGGCGCGCTGCTCGCTCGGTACATCCAACAGGCCCGGAAAGGTAGGGCGCTCCCCTCCCCACCCTCCGCGGCCCCGTGCCCAGGCTGCCCTTCCCCCGTGCCCGCAAGGAGATGACCGCCTTCCCGTCCCGGCGTCCTGTGGAGCACGTTGAAAGGGGATGTGCGGGACTGCAGGCGAACCTCCTTCAACCCTTCATTTGAGCCGATTCGGGGCGCGTGTTGCTGATGAAGCGCAACACCATTTTACGAGCACATTTAAAGATAGTGACTGCGTCCGCACCAGGGTTCCCGGGGGCACCAGAGATCCTCCTTTGCCAACGCTGTGGTCCCGGGAGCTACCGCCCGGAAACCTCTGCCCCCAGGTGCCCAGCCCTGAGAAGGCGTGGGACCCGACGAGGAGAGGTGACGCAGGTGTCCGTTTTCACCAGAGCGGTAACGGGAGGCCAGGAGGGGGACAGGAGGAGAGCCGGCCGCAGCTTGGAGTTTTCCTTGGCGGTGGGCAGGCTGACATGGTTACAGAGAGACGCTCTTGCTTTCATTCTGCTGCTGGAGAGAGGCCGTTTTCTCAGCATCAGTCTCTTCCCGGGAAAGGGGTGACTTAGCAGCGGGTCAGCGGAGAGCCCCTTTCCGGCCTGGCTTCCCACGGCAAGGAGATGAGGCTGGGGATCCCTGATCCCCGAGCCCTTCCCGGTCTCTCTGATTGAAGAGGATCAGGCATCTCCGGCATCTGCAGGAATCATGACGGGGAACAGGTTTCCTCCCGGCTTTATCTGGGGTGACGCAGGTGACACTGGCCGCAGGGCAGAGCGCCACACGGGATCCACAGGGCGGGGTGAGGGAGGCCCCTTTCCACGGGGCTCTTCCTCAGCCCCTGGCTTGGCCAGAGAGGAGAAGAGGAAGGGCGGGCTCTCCCGCCTCCTGAGGTTTCACACGGCGATGGGACGGGGCTCTTTGTCTAGTGGACTTCAGAGGGAAAGGGCAGAGCCACTTGTCACACCTCTTCCCCCTGCAGGGAAATCACCCCAGCTGTCCCGTGCTGCTTGCTGCGTGTGCTGCTCTGAGAGACAGCAACACTGAGAAAGAGCCCGAACAGTCTCGGTGGCCGGGTGACGGGGAAAGCCTGACGCTTTGGGGTTGCTTCTCACGGCTGATCTGAAAGTAATTTAGTTTCTGCCTCCAATGTGGTCTGAAGATCAGCCAGACGCATCTGAAACGGCCTAAGCCGTCACTGAGCCGGAGATGAGGAACTCTCCCCAGCTTTAGGAAAGACCCCGAACAATCTAGAAAGCGAATCACCAAACTAGCTCCTAGACCTGCCCCTCGAGGGGCTGGGAGGTTCTCCCAAGCCATCTTCTCAGCCCCTTTCCCCTCCCTTCGGCACCGCCAGCCCAGCCCAGGTGGGAGCAGCCCTCAAGTAGGGATTTGCTGCTCCGTGCCGGTCAGCACCAGCTGAGACGCGGGCTGCTCCTCTGGCTGACAGCGGAAGGAGGGGCAGGCGGTGTTCACACACAGACGTATGGGGCCCTGGGGTGTTCGCACACTCTGAGAGCACAGCGGGCTTTCACTGGGCTCTGAGCCTGTTGTGCCCCTGGGTCCAGCCGAGGCCCTGCCTTTGTGAGCCGCCCAGTAGCAGTGGCCCTCAGTGCTCTGTGGCCGGGTGATACGGTCCGGAGAGGAGGTGAGGAGAGGCCTCTAGTGGCCCAGTGGCACGTAGCCACACTTGCCCGGACCTGCAGAGCCGCATCTGCCTGGCCTCTGTCCAACCTTGTGAGCACCCTCGAGGCACTTCACACCTGCTGTGTCCTGTGGAGGCCACAGCCCCAGAGGGTGAGTGACACCACGTTGCCACTCCTCTAGGCGGCAGCAGGGCTGAGGGCCCAGGTCCTGACATCCCTGGCAGCCCACTGGCACTGCTTTCCTGGGTTTACAGGGGTCAGGCTGTCACTCCAATTCCAGAGATCAGTTGTCAGTGTCCCCCCATCCCCGCATCAGCCCTGGGGTCACGGCAGGTGCAGGCAGCTTGAAGAATGGGGGAGTGGAGGGGTGCAGGGCTGGCCACAGAGCAGTGCTTTACATGGAGACCTGGGTGGGGCAGCCCTGGAGCGGCATCGTCATCAGAGAGACAGCGGGGTAGATCACTTCCATGTGACTCTCCCCAGGTGCCAGGTCTGCAGGTTTGCTGCACCTGTGGACCAGCTCCCAGCCGTGCTGCCTTCGTCCTGCACAGCAGGTGTCCAAGATGTGGGGGGGGGTTGAGGTGACACTTAATCCCCACCTGGGAAGGGTGGGGCTGTGGGGGCGGGGATGTTGTTCTGTGTGCTTGCTCCTGGCTTCATTAGCTGGCTGAGTTCACTAGCAGCGAGACAGGTTGCCGCCCCTGCAGGGTCCTTACCAGCAAGTGAGCTGCTTGGCTTGCCCCTGCCTGGGTCAGGGGCAGCCCTTTCTCCAGGAGTGGAGGACACCAAGAGGCCTTTGCGCCTTGTGCTTGGGAGGCCAGGACCCTGAGGGTTTGCTCAGCACCGCACTGATTTCCTGCCCCTGAGGGAGGCCACCGTCTGTGCTCTGGGGCGAGGACAGCGTCACACACTCCTGTGCCCTAGCTCGGCCTGGGTTCCACCCGAGCACTGCTGGCCTCGCCCCTGAGACCTGCCCACTTCAGGCTCTGCTGTCATGTTCGGACAGACGCTAATTTAAATGACATCTTCGTGATCTCTGGCCTATGAGTCTTTGGAAGGTGTTTACTGAGAAGCTGCGGTCTCAACCTGCCAGTGTGCGTTTTTCTGGATTGTGAAGAATGTTTTCAAATTAATAATTTTAAAACAGAATTTACATAGCAATGGGACTTGATCCCCCTTCTGTTTTGGTTTTAGTTTTTCATGTTTGTTTTTAACCCCTCCACTGGGACGCTGTAACTAGCCCAGCCTGAAGCTCTCTGGAGAGCTGGCGTGCTCACGGGTGCTGCCGGTGAGATTTAGGGCTGGGTGGCAGCAGGGAGAGCGGCGGTCAGTGTCTGCGGAGGGCCACAGACACGGGCACGAGTTAGAGGTTGGAGACAAGGTTAACTGCGGCCAGCCCTGAGTCTGCTCCAGGCAGGCGCAACGGACCCCGCCTGTCCCTGGGGAGCACTGCCTGGGCAGCCGGCCTCCGGGCTCCCTCCTCCCTGTATCTGGGCGTCCTGGTGGCTCTCTGGTACCTGTGGGGTCTCTGTGTGTTTCTGGCCGTTTCTGCCGTCCGCACACCGAGCGGTCATACCCTCAGTGAACGTCCTTGTCCTCTCTGCCTCGCAGCGCCTTCGGGCCGCATGGCCATGGTCAAGAGCCTGCAGGGCCTGGACCCCAACCACAGGATAAGCGACCGGGACTACGTGGGCTGGATGGACTTCGGCCGGCGCAGCGCAGAGGGGGAGGAGTATGAGTACCCGGCATAGAGGCCCGGCCTGCCCCGCCCCGCGCGGAGGAGGCTGGGCAGGGGCACAGTCCCGCCTCACTCGATGTCTCTGTCTTCCTCGGGAATGATCTGTCTGCTGCGGTTGTGCAGTGCCACCATGCCCTGTGTTTCCTCGGCCCGTGGCTCCCGGCCCTAAGACGTTGCTATGCTATTAAAGTGATCTCAGTCCACGCCTCCTTCCGTGTGTGTGCTGGGGAGCGCGTCTGGGGAACCCGCAGTCTGTGGCCCCCACAGGGCTGGGGACATGAGCATCACAAGGGGCCAGGCAAGGTGCCTTCTGCAGCCAGCTCCACAGCCACTGGGCACCCTGACCCACCTCTTCTGCCAGCCCCACTGCCCAGCGCTGATTTGGGGTTCTCTCAGCCTTTAAGTTTCATAGGGCAGCATCATTCCAGGCTTTTTTCCCTTGCAGTACTGGGGATGGAACCCAGGGCCTTTGCACTGAGCTACACCCTAGCCCTTCTTAAATTTTTTGAGACCAGGTCTCACTGAGTTGCCCCAGTTGGGCTGGAACTTGTGACTCTCCTGCCTTAGCCTCCCAGAGTGCTGGGATTTGGAGCTCGTGCCCCCACAGCAGGTGCTTTCTGCGCATCTGGTCACTCCGCAGCCTGTGGTGGGGCCACCACCCTTCCTCTGCTGACGGTGCAGGCCGGGAGGTGGCAGCGGGGGTGGGGATGAGCAGTGAGGGTAACAGTTCAGCACCCGGCCTGGCGGGGCCTCGGAGCGCTAGCACTTCTCGAGCCCCTGGGGCTCCTGTCCGGCTGTGTGTCCCCGCTGAGGTCCGGCTGAGGCTGGCTGAGCCCCAGTGACCTGCGTGTGGCTGTCCTGGCTATCCTGGGGCTGCCGTGGGAAGAGCTTGTGGCTTCCCTGGAGCCCTGAGGCTGTGAGGCCTGTGTTCCCGGGGTAGGGGTGGGGAGGGTGGGGAAGGTGGGGAGGGTGGGGGTCATTCTTTGCCCACCTGCTGAGATCAGGAAGGGGTACAGCCGAGGACACCCAGAGGCCAGCTACTGCCCCCACAGGGTGCGCCCAGAACTTCAGGCCCACGTCCATCCAGCGTGCAGCCCAGAGGGAAGACATGGGAAAAGACACCAACACCGGCAGGTCCACAGAGGACCTCGGAGGCCCCAGCCCCACCACAGCTGCAGACCCTGGGCCTCTTCCTGGGGTGGGAGGGCACCGGGGAGACTGGGTCAGAGCTGTCCCTCACTGAGCTGCGGTCAGGGTTTAGTGTGAGACCAAAACGCTGCCGCGTGGGTGATGTGCCCCTTGGCTGCTGCCTCGCTTGGATCGAACCCCGTGCTCTGCACAGCAGCCTCCGGTGTTAGCGTCCCACCCGGTTCAGTCAAGACCCTGAGGCCTGTAGCGTTAGCACGGCGCCACCCACCCCCAGCAAAGGCTGCTCATGGGTGAGTATGCAGCTGAGCACGTGCCCGTGTGTGTGTGTGTGTGTGTGTGTGTGTGTGTGCCCGCGTGCGTGCGCCTGCACTCACCTGTATGTGTGCACACCAGGCGTGTATTGCTTGTGTGTTGGCGGAGGGGTCGGGAGAGGAGGGGCCTGGACTTGAGTGGGAAAGCAGCCCACTGCGGAGGGCGGTGGGTGAAGGTCTGGTCTGAATGAGCCACGTGTGGATAGTCAGGGAGGAGGGTGTGCGGTTTCCAAAGGTAAAGTCAGCTCTCACGAACACACAATCAACGTGTCAGACAGCACTCACTTGGCCATTAGTAACTGGTACGGTGTTACAGCCACTTCAAGGGCCAGCCAGGGACTGACACATGGGGCGGTCAGGTGCTGAGGGGACTGCGTGTGATTCTGGGTGGGGGAAGAGCAATGTCTGGGGAGTCTGTTACCCAGCACGAAATCGGTGCACCGTTAGGGACAGTTTTCTCCAGTGCTTCCCGATGCTAGAAATACCTGCGTTCCTGTCAGCTCTCCAGAGCTTGCAGGGTTGAGTGGCACCAGCAATGACGGTAGCACAGCGTGTGCCTGGGTCCCCATCACAGCCTTGCCCCCTCCGAGGCGCCCCCCTCTGTGGGCGCAGGGCCTTGTAAGAGACCCTGGTTGGGATCAGCTCAGGAGTCATCGTGACTGTGCTGCTCCACAAGGACTTGGGGACACACACGGCCTCAAGTGTCAAGACCTGAGCAGCTGCTTGCAGTGGGGTCCAGGGCCTCCAGAGGCTGGGGACCTGCCCAGAGCCACACGCGGGAGGAGGGTGCCCGAGACCTCTGCCCTTCCCGTCTGCCCCTCTCCCCTCCACACACTCCCTCCCTGCCCCATCTCCGACCCACAGGAGCTGCCCCAAAGCGGGGCTCCCCACCTTAGGCTGGGCCCAGACAGCTGCGCCTGCTCTTCGGACTTGGTCCTGGTAGCGAGGGCTGCAAAGCTCCTTCGAGCAGGTCCACTGGAATGTAAAGGCTGGAAGGAGCAGTGGCCCGTCATTCCACCCCCACCCGCCGGAGCCCAGCCCCCTCCCACGTTACAGGGGAGAAACCTGCCCAGGGCCATGTGACGGACTCATGATGGAACACCTGCCCCGGGCGTCCCCTTTGCCAGGCTGAGACACGGGGAGCCACCCGGTGGCCTGGGCACTGCTGTGACCTCTGGGCCTATGGTTGCTCTGCTCCCAACATGGCCAGCGTGGCCAGTGGCCAGGGCCTCTCTCCCAGGATGAGTCTCTGCAGCTCGGGCTGGGCCGCACCTCTGTCAAGTGAGGAGATCTTTGCCTCCTAGGCCCCTAAGCTGGGGACCTGAATGGTTCCTGGCTGTGAGGTCAGGGAGAAAGAAAGCCAGGTGGGAGGGACGTGCTCTCTTTACGCTTTTAACAAACAACAATAAAAATCACAACCGTCTGTTCTTGCTGGGGTCGGAGTCCCAAGGATAAGAATCCCAATTGCATGCTACATTTCCTGTACCTCGAATGCCTTTCCTCGAAGGACTGTGTTCCCGAAGGTACCTCAAGCCAGGGTCAAGCAGAGAGCGAGACCAGAACCTCCCGGAGTGCTCCGGGCCGCGGTTCAGAGGCCGTCCCTCACTGTCTGTGTCCCTCGCCCGCTCTGAGGTGCCCGAGGAGCACGGCTCCCCTCCCGGAAAGCCCAGCTGCCCAGCCCTTCTCTCCAGCAGCCCCGCTGTCCTCCCCGGCCCTTTCCTTCCGCCCGCTCACCGCACAGGACTGGCTCCGCCTAGTGACACGCTGGCGCCAGGTCTTTTGCTCTAGGGTGTCAGCACACAGGGCAGAGATCGTGTGGGTTTGGTTGACTGCTGTATTTTAGTACACGGTATAGTCCCTGGCCCGCCATAAATAGTAAACGTGTGACTAATGAATTAACCGTCAAGGGAGAAACCTCCCAGGGCCCTTGCTCCTGGGGAACAGGCACAGGACACCTGTCCTCCAAGAGCAGTGGAGCACGTGAAGTCGGAGCAGACCACCCGTACAGCCGTGGGCTGGCAGCGTGCATGCGGGCACACGGGAAGGGTGACAGGTGCTGCACTGTGCACCTCGTCACAGATGCACGCAGGCATGTGCACGCACACACACGCACGCGTGCACACACACATCTGTGTGCAGCCCTATTTCTTTTGATATAATTAAAAGTCTAGAGTGTATCATCAAAGAAGGGAAAAGAGGAGCACTGATGACTGTCACTGCACTCACTCTGCTTCTGAGACAAGTGGAAACCCGCGGCGCACTCCAGGCGAGGGACTGTGGAGGATGTGAAGGCCCATCCCGTTGGTAGACAATGAGCTGCTGTTACGTGACGCCGAGGAGGACAGTGCAGCAAAATGGGAAACGACAGAGACCACGGCATGGATTCAGCTGGACAGCAGCGGCACCATGAGTCCTCACCGCCAGGACGGGTCATCACCCCGGGTGCTACAAGCAGACAAAGCCAGGTGGTGGTAGGCGGGGCTTTACAACTGGACCCTGCTGCTGGCCGTGCCACAAATGTGTCTGACGTCTTTGATATTAGCAGGAGACAAAGCAGGTACGTTCTGGCTTGCGTGACGTCCACACAAATGCCACCCTTCTGACCTGAATTGCTGGGATGTAGCTGGCCCTGCTGGGGTCCAGGACTATGCGTCCACCTGAAAGTCCCCCAGGAGGCTGCACTCTGCGCAGTCTTAGATCAGTCTGCCGCTCTTTCCTTCCACAGCGTCTGGGGGCTGGCTGCACACACAGGGGCCAGGCTGTTCCGGGACAGCTGTGAGCAGTGCAAGTGACCTGCAGTCACATTAAGTCTATTTACCCCTTCACAGGGTGATGTGAGCACACAACACTCATGCTAGGTCATAGGGTCCTATGACTTTTCTCCCAATTCTTGTAGTATTTGTAGAGCACCCTCATGACAGCTGAGCTCTTATTCCCCAGGTGGTTCTCAGAATCACTGTAACGGTTGATACGCTGTCAATCTGAGACATCTAGAAGCTGAACTAAGTAACAGCAGTTCTACATCCTGGGGTGTAGAGGACATGCCCTTATGCCCTAGGATGTTGTTCATTGTGTCAACTTGAGAAGTTTAGACATTTAACTAAGTGACTCAGCAGGGGCCAAGGTCCTCACTTTGTGAATATCCCCAGCCTGTGCAAGAGGAGGGTATGGAAATGGTGTGGGTATAAAGGACCCACCCTAGGATGGAGAGCCTGCATACAATATAAGGGAGGAAAAGAGCCTTGCTCCTTCCCTTTTGTCTTGTTGCTTTTGCTGCCTTCTGCTGCCCTGAACAGTTGCCCCTCAGCCAGGCCACCCTGCCTTGGAGCTAGCTGGTATGGACTGAAACTTCCCAAACTGAGATAAATAAACCTGTCCTCCCTTAATTTGGGGCATTGGGTATTTTGTCCCAGCAACAAGAGAAAAGTAACTAACAGGATCACTGAGGTTTGTCATCTACGTGGCCACCCACAGTGTTCATCACGTTTCCCTCTATCACCTTGGCTGTGCCAGCCACTGTGGCCACCCCGGGTGGCCAGTGTCTACAGTCCTCAGTGCCCTCTGTTCTCAGTGTGGGAGCTGGGGCCATGCTGCTACTGATTTGTCGTCATGGCCCTCCAGCACCATGCAGGGCCTAGGTGCCGTAGTGTGACTGCTAACCTGATACGTCCACTTCACTGGATTAAGAAGCACCTAGTGGGTTAGTAAAGCCCACAGCTGCATATGCCTTGGTGGCTCATGGAGGCG